CATCATTTGTTTAGCACGCTGTTCCTAAACCCTAAACCCCTAAGCCGTAAGCAGTAGTTTTTAAAAGCTCAACCTTCTGATGCTCTAACGGATGAGACAGCGACTGTCATTGCAGAAGCTACAAATCTTGGAGGAGACCCCCACTGACTCCATTCGGATCGGTCGGCAGGGCTTTGTTGCCAAGGTTTTTGGTTCTGTGATCCGTTCTCGTGTCTGGAATGAATATTGAAATTCGATGGACGTCGCAGGTCAGGGTATTGTAATACGTGTACCTGACCCTGGTCTGACGTATTAAAATAGTTAAGATATTCAGAAAATAGTTGCGTTTGGTCATGCCTGACAGCGCATATTCTGATGAGACTACATCGACGATAGTTCGTGCACATAAGCAAGTAAATTTTGACGAGGCTTTGATACTTGCATTTTCCTTGAAAGGTTTGTCGTGCTACTTTGTTCTGCCTGAGCTATGTATCGTCCAGGCTCATGGCCCATTTGTGCTAGTCACTGCTTGATTTCCTGGCAGTGAGCTTACAACAATAAGTTCTCGAAGATATTAGTGGTGTCCCTCTGTAGTCGCTTTTAGTGGTTGCGAGCTGGGATAAGTATGTGCCGTCAATTTTTGTGGTCAGCATAGAAGCTAGTCCCATAGCCGGTCTTCTTGCCTTAGTTCTAGTCGCCGCATTCTCACAGTTCTGCGTTTGTTGGCTCACTTGTCTTGCGAGTGGTTTCGGATTGCTCTGCGGTTGCTGCAGTGACTACCTTCTGAACATGATTTTATTGGCGAGTGAAATCAATGGATGTATATGTATTGCTTCTATTGTTCTGATGTTTTAGGGCCTTGCCAGGCCCTGTGGCCTGCAGGTTGTTTTGGTTACACAGGTGTGACATGGCTGTGTGGCCCTGCCTGAAATACCCTTGAAATGCGCTCGCTCTGTGCTTACGCTGCACTTGCTGTGCGCTTGCTCTGCGTCTCTGCAAAACTGGTGCAGATCCTCCTGATATGCATGAGTTGGGCGGTTCATTGCACTGCATCTGCAATTCGCCCTTCGCTTGTGCGGCTTGTTTCCTGTAATGGGCTTCACTTGCGCTAGAAACGCACTTGATCCGCGTTCGGTCTGTGGTTTCTCTTAACTCATGCATGCAATCATCCTTACCGCACAATCTGCCTGAACATTGAAATGTGCATCAATTGCTTTCAAAGGCACTTGTGAGCAAGTGCAGCGCGCATGAAATGCGCCTCAAAGACAGCTGAGGTGCACTTGAGACGCGCTTGAAACCCGCTTGATCTGTGATTGCTCGTTGGTTTCGTTGAAGCCCCTGCAATCCTCATTATCATTGAAATGCGCTTGAAACGCGCGTGATCTGTATTTGCTTTTGGCTCCGCTTTAAACGATGGGAACCCTCCTTACCATTGAAATGCACTTGAAATGCGCTTGAAACGCGCTTGATCTGTGATAGCTCTTTGGTTTCTTTGAAGCCCCTGCAATCCTCATTATCATTGAAATGCGCTTGAAACGCGCTTGATCTGTATTTGCTTTTGGCTCCGTGTTAAAGGATGGGAACCCTCCTTACCATTGAAATGCGCTTGAAACGCGCTTGATCTGTGATTGCTCTTTGGTTTCGTTGAAGCCCCTGCAATCCTCATTATCATTGAAATGCGCTTGAAAAGCGCTTGAAACGCGCTTGATCTGTATTTGCTTTTGGCTCCGGTTTAAACGATGGGAACCCTCCTTACCATTGAAATGCGCTTGAAATGCGCTTGATCTGTGATTGCTCTTTGGTTTCGTTGAAGCCCCTGCAATCCTCATTATCATTGAAATGCGCTTGAAACGCGCTTGATCTGTGTTTGGTTTTGGCTCCGTTTTAAACGATGGGAACCCTCCTTACCATTGAAATGCGCTTGAAATGCGCTTGAAACGCGCTTGATCTGTGATTGCTCTTTGGTTTCGTTGAAGCCCCTGCAATCCTCATTATCATTGAAATGCGCTTGAAACGCGCTTGCAACGCGCTTGATCTGTATTTGGTTTTGGCTTCGTTTTAACCTACAGTATGTATTTGGAATCCTCCTTACCATTGAACTGTGCTTGAAACACGCTGGAAGCTCGCTTGATCTGTGATTGCTCTTTGGTGTCTTTGGAAGCTCTTGTAATCATCATTACCATTGAAATGCGCTTGAATCGCCCCTGAAACGCGCTTCGGTCATCCCCCCTACTTATCTAATGTATTGCCGGGGGGGTCCACGGGGGGGCTGCCAATACATTAGTATGTGCGTTCCCTAGGGATCACCGAGACCCTCAATGTATTGGTGGGTCTGCTGTGATGGCCAGTGTTTTGCCTCTGAAGTCGCGCATGAATGGATTGATGTTCATGAGATTCCCACATATTCCCACTGTGATCAGCAGCAGCAGCAGCGGCACATAGCGGCACCAGCACCAGCGCCAGCGCATCACATCACTAGCAAGAACACTCCATCTGATGCCATGGCACTGCAACTTCAAGAGCTATGGGGGCCTTCGTCGCACCTGCACCTGTCTCAGTGTTCCTTTGCTTCGGCTTGGTTGTTGAAACCTCCCCTCCAAAATCTCCCAGTTGCATTCCGCTTCATCGATGACGGCCGGGACCTCCGCACGGACAAGTTCAAATCGAAGAAGCAGGCAAGTGGGAGGGGGGAGAATTCCACAGATACGAAACACATTCCTTGGCCAGGCGGATCAATGGGCACGTGCAAGTGGTGTCCATCCAGCCGGGCCCCTGGATTTCATATTGTGTTCGCTCCTCTTGCAGAAGCATGTGGCAGGTGCCAGAGTGGCTCAAAGACAGGGCGGCGAGGCACTGGCCGGAGGATGGCAGTGCAGATGAGGACGAGGTGGGATGGAGTGTGGATCGGTGGAGATATTCCTTGACTTGCACCGGGCAGGCTCCACATGGCGTCCTTCCGGTAGCTCCGCCCTATCATAATGTATTGGACCAGCGGGACGGTGTCAATACAATTCGCGGTCCAGGCACGGTTGCCGGCAACGCTCTGGCACGACGTCAACCAGAACCGCGAAAGCCTTCATCTTTTCGGGAAGGATCACTCGAGGTGCTGCACATGGGTCTGCCTCGAGCTGGCTCGCTGGTACTTGGTGTCCGGCCAGCAGCGGGCTTGCCAGGCAGGGATTGCATAATGTATTGGCGCAGTGGGACGGTATCAATACATTATCGTGCTGCCGGGGTTGTCCAGCATGGATTGCATGGATCTAGCAAAAGCATGCAGGTAGCTAGATCCAGTCTTGCCTCGGAAACCCCGGTGCTGCCCCAGTGTACTTAGACGGTCCAATAATGTATTGGCACAGCGGGACAGTATCAATACATTTCCCGCGTTGCAGGATTTCCTTCGCGGCTGGATAGCGCAAGAGCGTGACGCCTTGGTTTGGACGCTGCTGAAGCAAGCAACACTGTGGGCTGGGCAGTACAACAGCCTAGCGGACCCGGAGATGCAGAAGATTCTGGGAGACTGCTGGAACGCAGCTGACAAGTACGTGCGATTGCTCCCACGTGTGTGACTGGAACGGAGCCGTTCCTGAACTTCTTGGCACACGTGGACAAGGTTGTGCCTGAGCTGCCGGTGGAGTGACTGGAAAGTCGTGCTGCTGCGGAGTGCGGGTGGAGTGGCTCGAAATTCGTGCTGCTGCAAAGTGCCGGTGGAGTGGCTCGAAAGTCGTGCTGCTCAGTGCCGGCGAAGTGACTCGAAGCTTTTCCGTTCGAGTCCTGAAAAAAAAAAGCGCGATCCCGAAGCCGTGCAAGGGTTGAGAGAGGGAGAGGCAGGCCAGACTGAGATGCAACAGAAGACATACCTAAAAATACGTGCAAGTCTTGTCCAGCATGTTTTGTTAACATCATAATGACATAAATACATATGCAATTACGTCGATAGCATGGGATGCCTTCAATCACAACCCCTGGACACCCCCCAACAGACCCCTCCAATACATTCCAGACCCTACCGTAATGTATTGCTGGGGCCTCTGGCCCGATGAGGGGCTGTGAGGAGGGATCTTCGGTCTGTGGTCTCCCCACAACCCCTCTTATGAGCAGACCCCTTCTTAGAGAAGCACAGACATCGTGCACATATGTGCACATGAGAGACGTCTGGTTCGGTTTAACCGCGCCACACCTACGGACATAGGTCAGTTTAACCCAAGCAGTCACAAGCCAAGCCCTCAACTTCAAGCCCTTTATGCACCATGGAACCAAAGATGTTGCATTGGCCAGCACTGCAACACAATCCAAGTTCGCATGGAACAGCTTGGAAAAGCTGGGCCTCCAAAACATGACACATGACTTGGATTTGAGGGGTTGTGAAACATAAACGTTTGATCCGTGGTTCCTCATTTCGATGTTAATTTCGCGACGGATGTTGAAAAATAGACAGCTCCGCAATCTTCACACATGACCTCTGCCAAAATCAGACCCGGCCCGAGCCCCTAGGTACGCGTATCCCCGCTGGTAGGGTATCCCCGCTTAAGTTGCTCCCCAATTAAAAGGGGTCGATGAGCGATCTACAATAGGGTTCTATATTCGGGGCCTTATTAATTACCAATACTATTTTGGGGGGGGTTCCTTATAATAGTTACAGTATAATGGGCCCAAAGCATACATTAGAAGCCCGAAAGTTGGAACCTAATTATCCGCATCCCAAATCCATGTTCCAACTTTCTGGGGCTCGCCAGTCGTTAAGCGCGGGTAAGTTTGACATAAGGTGTCCCACAGTTTGTGTGGTGCCAAAGTTTTAGGCCCGCTCAATCCCTCATGCCCCAATCTCTAGAAAACTCTTGACTCGAAAACTCGTGAAAAAAGTGCCATTCCAAACCGAAAACTCGTAAAAAGTGCCATACCCCTGGTAAGGACTGCACCCACCCTGTAATAGTGACTATAAGGATTATATTAGGGCCCTAGTATATTCCTAGTATACCACTATTACAGGCTGGGGGCCCCGTCTAAGCCATACCCCTGGTAAGGACTGCACCCGGCTCTGTCGTGTGATTGCGGACGTGCCTGCCGATTCGCCGCCGGATCCTGGGTTGCACGTGTGGACCGGCTTTTCACACTAAACTAAAAGCCAGAAAGTTGGAATATGATGATCCTAGGACCCCTTGTGGTAAGTTATAGGGTACCCTACCCTGAAACCATATTCCAACTTTCTGGAGTTCCCTTTATGTGGATTGTGCTTTGGGATACTTTTTAATTTCCCTTTTTCCTTACAAAGGGAACCTATTCATAAATAACTTTCGAAGGGTTTAGAGCACAACCCAGTCTTTTGTTTTGGCGGCCTGGAGCCTTGCACTTCGAATCCTGCATTGTAGTCATTCTGTTGCGGTAGGTGGGTCTGCGCCCAGTTCGGGAGCAATTCAGTTTATCACAGTTCCGAAAACTGGTCTCACAGTTCTGTCATAGGACCTACCGAAATCCTAAGACCGCCATGACACATGAGAACAGCCTAAACCCCAAAACCCTAAACCCACAAACCCTAAACCCTAAACCCAAAAAAAACTAAACCCACAAACCCTAAACCCACAAACCCTAAACCCTAAACCCCCTAAACCCAGGATACTTTGTGGATTCAGCAGCTGAAGGATGACAAGGCGCATGGCTGCCAGCAGAGCCTGCAGGGCACTGTAAGGTCCTTACTACCCAGACTACTTGGAGGTTCATGGGTAGTCATAAGTAGGGTTATAAGTCCCCTAATATGGGTTATAAGTATAGTTACCCTACTTATAACCCTACTTATAACTACCCATGAACCTCCAAGTAGGGCTATGGGAATACGATGTGAAGATATTATGATCCTTTTTGTGAGGTTATATATTAGGATAGAGGGTTCATTGCTGGTATAGGGGATTTGCCAAGCCAGCTTCTTGGAGAGCACGGTATGTGCACAGGGTTCAGGGTTTAGGGTTTGCAGTACTTAAAAGGATCGTGGGATTTAGTAACTGGGCTTATAAAGTATAAATAAGGTAACTATACGTATAAACACGTATAAGCCCACTATAGCCTGACTTGCTAAGTCCCATGATCCTCTAAGTGGGGCTTATCGGCGTCGGTCTTCGGTCACAGTCCATCCTTACGGACGGCGATAGGGGTTTTGGCACCTTGCTTGCAGGCAGACCATGTCGTGGTGGACATCCAGGATGTTATGCTTAACAACCTGACGCCCGGTTGCCATGGAAGATTAGGGTTGAGAGATGTTTAGAGTTTAGGCAGACTGAACAAAGCTCAAGGCGTACGTATTATAAGCCTATATACCAAGCCCTGTGCAGAATGCACGTGACAGCAGTCATACCTGTAGCCCAAAAAGCGTGCCTTCGAAGGAAAAATATGAGGAAATCATTGTAAAGAACACTAAAGTGCTCAAGGTTTAAGCACCAGAATCCTAAACCCCTTCCTGAAGCCCGCAAAACCCTGAAGCACTCAACCCTACAATCGTTCAGAGAACCCTTACTTACTTTAAATCACACAGAGAGAATCCAGGATGGTCCGGGGCAGCGGGGGCAACTGGTGGGACAAAGCCGGCCCGAGCATCGAGGTCTTCATGCACGGAAGCACCACCCAGGGAGCCTCAGCTGGGCTCTTCTAAAGGGAACTCCAGAAAGTTGGAATATGGAATAATGGTAGGATCCCCTTTATAATTTACCTTAAAGGGATTATGATATTGATATTCCAACTTTCCGGCTTCTACTTTAAAGGGGGTTTTAAGTGAAGCTACCATACTTTAGGGTTTCTTTAAGGGATCTATAAGGGTTCCTTTAGGGTTCTCTGAGGGTTTAGGATTAGAGGTTTTAGGTTAAGTTACCATAATAAGAAACCCTGAAACCATATTCTTAGTTATCGATCCCTATTATGGAAACTTGAGTTGAATTCCTTAACAAGAGCCCAGTCAGCTGCGGCCGAGGGTTTAGGATTTCAGGTGCCGCATAGAGTATGATAGCTAGGCTTTCTAAGGGCTCAGGGACTGTGGGGTTCAGAGTCTACAGATTTTGCCAGACTGCATTCAGTGTGGTGTTTCCTTTCAAGCCGCCGCTTTAAGAAATCTGCTTGGGCTTGGTCTGTTGAACAGCAAACCCCAAGGGGTCAAATAACAGTATGGTGTCTACTTTCGGGGTTAATTAATATCCAGTGTAAGTGAAGCCTACCATGCCGCTACCTGAACACCTTGGCAAGTCTTAAACCCTGGACTCTACAGACCCTCAACCCTAACCCTATAAACGCTAAACCTAAATCCAAGGCTACATGTACATTACCTTGGCGAAGGGCCAGGCCAGCTTGCAGAACAACACACACAAGGGAACGGCAGATGTCAGGTGGCTCGGCTGCATCGCCTTAAATCCCAAAAGCCTTGAAGCTTCAAGCACCCCAAAAGGGTCCTAAGGACCTAGCTTGGGGGCCTGAATAACTACCTATAGTAATTATAGTATAATGGGCCCCCCAAAACCCTATGCTAATTATGAAGGCCCCTGTTTATACTATAGGATACTTACCCAAACCATAATGGTAGTTCCTACTATAGAAGATCTACGGCTGTTGCAACAGAAGCACTTTAGATATTCCTGATGTGGAAGAGTGAGGCAGCGCCGGAATTTGCCATGTGACGATTTCTAGACTCCCTCTTCTCAAATCCCAAACTCATCGACCCGTTCGATGCCATAGTTTGTGCTCAAGTCACTACTATCTGCATGCCAGCATGTACACTTACCTAAAGTAAAAGCCAGAAAGTTGGAATATCATTCTCGTAACCCCTTTAAGGTAAATTATAGGGGATCCTACCATTAATCCATATTCCAACTTTCAGGAGTTCCCGTGAGACCTACCTACCAGTCAGAAGGGACGAGGGCGAAGGACGACGCGAGAGGACTGGTATCATCGCTACTGCTGTCGCTGCTCCTGAACCCGAAACCCCATCCTTAAGTAAGTTGATGCTACAGCAGCTGCTTGAATGCTCAGTTCGCAACAATGCGCAACATCTTCGACCTGCGGGGAAGAGCAACAGCAGCAGAACACCAGCAACAGCAACGACAAATACTCCCTAAAACGCTCATGAAAAGGCCTCTACAGCAACCCGAGAGCTCTGACACTAAACCTCCCAAAGGGTCAAAGTGCCAATATAGCAGTTGCTTAGTTTAGGGTTTAGGGTTTAGGGGTTTAGGGTTTAGGGTTTAGGGCTACTTGGGCCCCAAAAGTATACATTCTGCCAGTACTTGGACCCTTCGGGCCTTACAGATGCTTCGCAAGGTCGGACGGCAGCGTGACCATGAGAGAGGTGGCACACACGGGCCCAGTAAATCTGAACTGGCGCCAGCCGAACAATCAGGCGGGTTTAGGCTTTAGGGGTTTAGGGGGTCTAATTTTTCAAGGATTTAGGGGTTCAGGGTTTAGGGTTTAGGCTGGGCTTCAGGGTATAAGGTCCAGCTCTTTTTAAAAGGTTTGGTTCAAAGTTTAGTTAGTACTATGCAACAACAGCAGGGTTTTGGTGTAATCCAAGTGTGGTGATAAAGGGGCGTTGAGGGGAGTTTATTGTTGTTTGACCTGACATCTCTTTATCGGGCTTGTTGAAGCTCGATTGCAGGCTTCTGTTGGACAGGGCTTGGGTGGCGGTGTCGCGGACTTCGTTCGGGGGTGTCGGGTGTTTAGATTGCCCCGGGCCACTAGCAGTGAAGAAAGAAGCATTGAACCTCCTCGGATGAAGGCTCAAGATATCCTTTAGCTCAAATTGCCCGGAGGGTCCACATACACTACTACTATGGGATTAGGCCCCGAAAACCCATCCTTGTTATGTTCTTTGGGACCTGATTCCCTCTGGGTTGCCGTTCCGTTGGCGATCATAGAACTGGACAAGCACTCCCTATAATCTCCACTGATGTTCCTGTTTTGGTTTAACCAATTAGATGTATAGGATCCTAAAAGGTAATCCCAAAAAAGAACTACAATGGAGCAGAATCTGGGAAACCCTAAACCCTAAACCCTTTAGGAATGACTTGCAGCCCATGTCTGACGCTTTGAACTACCCCTTGCTTGCCCCAAACCCTATAGACGGCAAAGTCCCTAAACCCTAGGTCCATAAATCTGTTAGGGTTTAGGGTTTAGGGTTTAGTGAACCCAAGACTTTGAATCTTACAGACTCCCCTAAACCTTAAAAAGACATCAAGTCCATAAATCTGTCCGTTTAAACCCAAAAAATTGAATTTTACAGACTCTGCCGACCTGTCCGTGAAAGCCTGAGCCAACACTGGGAATCCGTTAATATAGGGGCGTGAATAATTGCCAATACTATTTTGGGGAGTTGCGTATTATAAGTATAGTTTGACGGCCCCAAAGCCCTGTTCTAACGGGCCCCAAAGCCCTGTATTCTGATGAAGGCCCTTTTTTTCGTTTCAAAACCTTTACCCAACCCCTGACTCTTAAAAACGTACCACACAACTTTTTACCTGAAACCCCGAAAGCTATAGATCCCACAATCCTAAACCTGAAACCACCATACCCTTAAGCACAAAACCCCGGAATCCATCGCCACGCATCTCCTTGCCTAAACCCTAAATTTCATACCTCAAACCCCTATACCCTTAAACTCTGAACACTTCAATTCCGAAGCTCTGTACCCGAAACTCTACATAAACCTAAGTCGTCAGATTTGCGTGGTCGCAGCGCCGGACGAGCTCGTGCTTCCCGACGAGATGCTGGGAAGCAGCTTCAGTCTTGCGGGGTTTAGAGTTTACTGTTAGATAATGGCTTTCGGGTAGAGGTACCCTACCCTGCTTTAGTGTTTTTAGACTTCCTTAATTTTGCTGGCAAGACTACTCCAAGGGATACATAGTTTCAAGGTATTTGTTGTTTAGGGCACACAAGCCGAGGCATCCAGATATAGCTACCGTGTTCTGGAAGACGTCGCAATAGATAGAACACGCCTAGTTGTCCATGTTGCATGCGCCTGAATATGTGTTGAGCTCGTAACAGGTATCAAGTGATATTCGTACCTTACTTTGTATTCGACCCCCCCGAACCCTCGACTTTCAAATCTACGCCCTATACCCTAAACTCCAAACCGCATGTTGTAAGCCCCCTAGACCCAAAACCCTAAACCCAAAACCCTAAACCCTAAACCCAAAACCCTAAACCCTAAACCCTAAACCCAAAACCCTAAACCCTAAACCCTAAACCCTAAACCCTAAACCCAAAACCCTAAACCCTAAACCCGCCCTATAACCTAAAACTGATGGAGCGCTCACAGACAGCCATGCAGAAATCCTAAATCCCGAACCCTTCTACACCCGGAGCCGAAAGTTCTGAGCTATGGGGCCTCTTATCATCTTAAAGACTCTTGGGGAGCAGCAGAGTGCATCAAAGTAACGAAGTCTCTGCGCAGGCTAGCGGAGTAATTGTTGCACCATTTTAACATCATAAGGTAAAAGCCAGAAAGCTGGAATATGATTATCCTAAACCCTTTATGGTAAATCATAGGGTATCCTACCCTGAAGCCATATTCCAACTTTCTGGAGTTTCCTATAATGCGTATTCATTGTGGATGAGGCGCCAACCCTAACGTGTGTCAGGAGTCTAGGGGGGAACAGGGTGGGGGCATGGGACAACTTCGTTGCTTGAGCTCATGGGTCGAACTACCGGGCCGGCGCAGTATAGTACCCTTATATCGCACCCTGAGCGTATCCCAAGTACCTCTGTAGTATCCTGACAACCCTAAACCTTAAATCTCTCCTCCTTTGCTGAGACCCTAGACCCTGAAGCCTGTATAGACCCCAAATCCTTCGTAAATCAGCCCTGGAGACCATAAAACCCATAACCTTTCTATACTATACCCCGTTAATCAAACATCATAACATAGTACTGTGTGCTTAGAACCTTTCTGTATCATATGACGCTACTGTCTTGGAGAAGCATTGCTGCTACAGCGACGCCGTTAGTTTGTTTAAATGAATCCATTTATGGGAATCAATTGGAACAATGAACTCAAACAAGTTATGTAAATTAATTCGTTTAAAAATTTAACAAAGTAAGTTAAATTACATAATTTGTTTGAATTATCAAACTATCTTAATTATCTAGAGTATCTAAGTTACACCAATTCTAAACAATTTAAATCTGCACAAAACAGTAAAACTAATGAAACCAAATAAATAGCTTAAGCTGAATTAATTACGTTACTGAGTCTCAGTATATACACAAATTAAATGATTGAAAATAGTTACATTTTTTAAGCTAAGTAATTGACATAAGTTAACCAATTTAGTTAAACTGGTTAAATTAATTGAGATAGTTGAACTAATTGAACTAGTTGAATTAGTTACATGAACTACATTAATGTATTTCGTTCATAATATTAGCTTTTTGGATTGAATCGGTTAAGTTCATTGACAATCAAAATGACATGAGCTAAGTTAATGAACATGCAGTATAATTGTAATCTATTTTCTTCATCTAATTTAGTTATTTCTAAATATTTCAGTAGCTTTAGCTTATCGAAATAAAGTAGGTAGTTTAAGTTCCTTCATATTACGTTAACTAACTTTTGCTGATTAGTTGGTTTAGTTGGTTCCATTTAACTAGTCTATCTAATTAATTGAGTTAGCTTCTGTAGTTCAGCTAATCTATTAACTTTATGTAACTAATTATTTTGTTTAATCGAACTAATTGAGTCAGTATAACTGTAATGATTACTCAAATTGGTTTCAATAATTAGTTCATTTAAATAAATGAATGGCGTCCCCGCGCTGCCAAGTTGCAGCGAAACGCTGCTGAAATCCGTGGAGACGACGCTCTAACCCGTGTGCTAACAGTGAGAGGGCGGAGCAGTGCGGTGCTGCTGATGGGGGCCCTCAGCTCTGACGATTTGGAATCGTGTCTGCCGGCACGGGACTGGCCCAGACTTCTTATGTTCTGGTGGACAACCCTCGCAAAAGTACTGGAAGCATTTGCTCCCGTAAGCGGTCCCTTCTCGGCAAAGGCTTTCAGGGCGAGCAACACTCGTTGTGACGCCCCGCCGCACATACGGGATGCTCCCCACCGGGACAGGGCCTGCGCCAGCTTAGATTGGCGCGAGAAGCTGTTCAAAGCCGTAAAGGGCACCCCACCCTCACACAAACACGAATCTCAGTGTCGTCGTCGTAGTGGAATGCAGCCGCAACGGCAGCAACAGTAGCAGTAGCAGCTGCCGTCGCTGCAGCCGTAGCGGTAGCAGTAGAGCTTGCAGTGGCAGTAGCAGCAGCACGAGCAGCAGTAGTAGTGGTAGCAGCAGCAGCAACCCCACCTAGCACTGGTACTAGTACCGTCTCAAGTCGAGCATGGGATGAGAGCTGATGGGGGTCAGGGGGTCAGTAACAGCCGTAGGTTGAGTTCCAGGCTGTCAGGACTCATGAAGAAACCTTCAAAAGCATTGAGACGACCTCTGAAAGAAGACGTGCTGAAGGTGTTCTTTTTGTAGAGACGAAAGGAAGCGTCACATCATACACAAAGGTCCATGCCACATAGTACTGTACCCTTCAATTACCCTGTTTCTACATCCGTACCTAGAGGGTCCATATATACTACCACTAGGGAGTTAAGCCCCCAAAGCCATAATAGGGATGGTCTTTTGGGACTTAATTCCATCATGGTAGTATATACAGTATGGACCTCTGGGTCATAACCCTAATTCCTAAACCTCTCGAGCTCGAAGCTCGAGGAACGGCCCGCTGGCCTTGTGCAGCTCCACCTACTTCAAGAGCCAGTTTCAGGTCTTCTACGATTCCAGCGGCCCGGATCTGATTTGTTAGAGTTTTGGGGTTTTGTTGAAAGGGTTTGAGAAGGGTCGCACATGTGAGCGTGACCATGTTTTCAGCTCAAGAGTGCCCCAAGGCCTTGTGTGCCTCTGTGCGAGGCAAACGTTTGTAATTTTAGCGGGTTGCGGTTTGAGCTCGGAGCTTGTTGGTGTAAGTCGACATTCCTGTAGAGTTTGAGAATGTTAATGCTCTACAGTCCCAGGGTTCAAGTTTAGTACCACGGTTTGGGGTGTAGGGGTTAGGGTTTACGGTTTAGGACCCCCAACTAATGGTACAGCAGAAGCCTACCCCGCATCAAGGCGGCCTTCTCTACATGATTGGACCATAAGCCCTGAGCCTTAAACCCTACCTTAACCCCAAGTAACCTACCTTTTTAAGGACTTATATAGGGAAATCATGCTAGGGAACCCTAAAAAGGTAGGTTCTTCATGGTTAGGGTAAACCCTATACAACCTATACGACCCAAACAAAGGCAAAGACTTCTTCTTGGACCGCGCGGAGTTTGGTGCGCAGCTGGCAAAGATGCCCTACTGCTGCGGGAGCTGCTGGGCTTAATTACTTAGCGATTGTAATCTACACTTACAGGCTGTTACAACCCAGAACTATTTCTCATGTTTTTGTTAGTGGGCTCATGAACATGCTTATTCACAATGTTTGTGATAAAGGTTTTAGGGGTCCTTTGTTTAGGAGTTCTTGTAACAAGGATCTTGGAAGTAGGGCTTCGGTATCGGGGTCTCTGACGGTTCTGAGACTGCCACTTCAGAAAAGGATCCCGAGCAAGACATCGAGACAAACATGATTGAAACGTCGCAACAGGAACCCTAAACCCCAAACCCCTAAACCTTAAACCCCAAACCCTAAACCCCGGTGGCAGAGACGTCAGCAGTCGCAAAAAGGTGCTCAAAAAGAAACCCAAAACCCTAAACTCCTGACAACATATTATCCGCTAAACCCTGTTTGCGGCTTAAAGCTCGGTGAGACCCAATAAGGAGGTACTTGGGTTTAGGATAGTAGTTATGCAGGTTTTTTTTTTTGGAGAGTATATGATTACTAGATAATTGGACCCCACCGGGTAGACCTGGAAGCCGAAAAAAGCTCCTTACCATCCTTAGAGGGTTCCTTTAAAGGGTTCCTTATATCAGGGTTCCTATAGGTTCCCTGTAAGGGTTCCTTTCAAGGGGTCCTGTAAGGGCGTCAAACTCAATCCCTTTCTGCTAGACTTGCCTTAATACTGAAGCCTAAGCCCTAAACCCTGAACCTTAAACCCTCAACCCCCAACCCGACCTTAGCCTTAAACCCTAAACCTTAAACCCCAAACCCCAAGCCCCAAGCCCAAGAGCTGGAACCATGAAACGACGCCCTGAACTTGTGCTAAACCCTACCTGGACCCAAGGAAACCTGCATCTGTCTGATTTCTTTGGAGTTCCTTATTCTGAGTTCCCTTGAGTTCCTTATTCTGAGTTCTCTTGAGTTCCTTGTTCTGAGTTCCCTAGAGTTCCTTATTCGGAGTTCTTTACATACGTCCTTGGTTAAGGTAAGCCCTAAAGCCTCAACTAACGCCTAAGCCCTGCAGCTTAAGCTCCAGGCAATGGCCATCACCCTATTTGGTGCCCCTCCACCTCAACCCTAAAATCCTAAACTTAAACAGAGGGTTAAGGTAAACCCTAAAGCCACAACTAACGCCTAAGGTCCGGGCAATTGCCCTCACTCCGCCTGGTGCAATCCCTTATGTATGAGCTCCAAATTGGGGATCTTCCCAGCCGCTAAACCCTAAACCCTACACTTGGGATCCCTCTGATTTCGAGGCAATTGCCCTCACTCCACCTGGTGCGATGGAACTCTGTACCCCATTTTCGACTTCGGCTCCATCGAAACGGGCGCGAGCTACTTTGCAGCATCACCGAGGTTTCAGATTATATAAGGTAGTGCTATGACATACTATAACCCGTGTTTTAGTGTCATTTTGTTGTTCAAGAGCTATAGCAGCACACGCTCACCCGTGTTTTAGCGTCATTTTGTTGTTCAAAATGTGGTGTTTACTCTGCATCGCGTCTGGCGGGAAACCGGAGATACTAAGCCAGACCGAGCACACACAATAACAAAATCAAGGCAGGCTCAGCACTTCGGCTTCACCAGATTTCCTATAGGCACCCTCAAGATTTGATAGAGGTGTTGTTAGCAACGTTACCAGCAGTGATGGTATGTCCACCCCGAGCACCCTGTTTCGACGGTGCTTCGTCCTGCATCTTACACCCAGGCCTAGACTGATTATCTAGAACCGTTGGGCTTACAGTGTGCCTGTAGCCGGAAAGACCTACCTTTTTAGGGTTCCTTATTATGGTTTCTATATGTAGTTCCTTAAAAAGGTAGGTCTTTTCGGCTACAGTGTGTGGCTTATGGTAGGTAAAGCCTCCTCTTATTTGGAGGCTCAGGGCTACAAGACTCAGACTCGCAGGATTCGAGACCCACAGTTCCACCTTGTCTTCACTGGGCCCAGTATCTTCTGGGCGATTCGGCCGAAAACCGATGCCCAGAACCCCCTAGAAGTAGAGTAGGGGACCTTTAGCCTTCTTTGGGTAGTATAGTCCCTATATGATCCCTATATACTCAAAAAGGTTAACCTCCCCATGATACCCGACAAGTAGCACCCTAAAGCGCCCACACCTAATTCCAACCCCTAAACCCTAAACCCTGAATCCTAAACCCTAAACCCTGAACCCTTAACCCTACAGTAAAGCCCAGAAATTTGGAAGCCGGATTAAGGCCAAATAGTGCTGGGATTCCCTATACATTACTCTTAAGGATTGAGGCTATGAGGTTTCCAACTTTTTGGCTTCTACTGTAAACCTCACCGATCTCAGGTCTCAACAGCCGTGCTGAGATTCTCTCAGCAGCCACGGTCTTTGAGAACGTGAAACAGCTGGGCCCCGAAGCTGAGATCACTACTGCTGATGGACAATATCCTGCATTACCTTAAGGACCCTAAACTATGGGAATTATGGTATATTCCTTATTATTATGGGTGATGCAGCATTTATATCATCAACCGTATCAGGCTACAAAACCGTGTTCTGTTTAGGGCTTGGGGTTCAGGGTCAGGGTTTAGGGTTTACGGGTTTAGGGATAAGGGTTTAGGGGTTAGGGTTTAGGGTTTAAGGGATAGGGTGTAGGGTTTAGGGTTAGGATTTAGGGGTGCCAAAAACCTTCTACAAGGGTCAGGATTTACGAGGTTAGGGTTCAGGGTTTAGAGAGACGCTATGCGGGTGAAAATGGGAGCCTCCACACTTTGTGCACTGCTTTTGGGGGATCTACCTACGGATGTTTTCGGCTTAGGAAGAGTGGAGGACCCACTTGGGTGGTTGTCAAAATTAGGGTCCCTTTTTGGTAACCCTAAATAATAGGTGCCGTAGTATAATAAGGACCCAACAAGGGACCCTAATATTGACAACCACCCACATTTTAAACCCTAAATAATTCATAAAACCGATAAACCTGCCCTCGAAATTGGGTGTTTAAGGGTTGTCGGTGGTAATGCAGTGTTTGGATTATTCGTACTTAATAAAGTCCCTTATTCTAGCCCAGATTATAACCATAGACCGTAATTTCCGGGTTGGGGCGGTCAGGATAGCTTCGAGGCTTGAGCCATGGGTCTCGATAGCAACCCTCAGCGTGTACTCAAGGATCAAATTTGCCGGCAGCCTGTCAGGTTTATGTTTCTGAGGTTACGGGTTCAGGCTACAACCCTGAACCCTACACCCTAAACCCTAAACCCTACACCCTACACCCTAAACCCTAAACCCTAAACCCAATTCCTTTGAGGAGATCTGCTTGTTTCAGAGCAACACTTGCGTGATCTACCCGAAAACCTAAACACAAACCCCTCTACATCCTACATCCTGAACCCTAGCTTTCGGAAGTATGTTTTATTTACTAGGATGCCCAGTAGTACCCTTATTCCCTTTTTGTAGTCCTAGGTTCCATATAAAGTTAGCCAATACCAAAAAGAGAGGCCTTGTTATTCTTAGGTTACTGGGTATCCTAGTTTAGCTTGCAATATAACTTAAGGGACTAACAAGAATATTATGTTTATTCTGGTTCCAAGGGCGGCTAAGAACCGGCCCTTCCCCGCATCCCAGACTGGGCCCTTATAGATCTCTTAGGGATCTCTGTTTGAAACCGACAGGACCCTTCAAATTCTGCGAAAACCGCAAAGAACCCGTGTGTCACAACGGAGCCCTCGTAGAGCCCAAAACGAACCCTAACCAAAACCCTTCAAGCAGCCGTTGAACAAGCCCTACATGAACCCTAAACCGCCAAGCCCTGAACTTAAACCCATTGCAAGAACCTTCAACAACATCACTCAAGGAACCTTAAGGTTCCTGGTGCGGAGGGTTCAGAATGGTCTACAGGGACTACTGCAAGGGATCTTACCGGACCATCAGTAGGATCGACTCTCCCATTCCCAACTGAGAACCAGGGAGAATAAGACAAGGTTACCTTAACAAGCATACCCTCTAAAGACCTAAACCCTACAACCTCAACGCCTTCAGAGACTCCTTTCAGGAACCGTAAGCTCAAAACCCTAAACCCCTAAACCCCAGAGCCCTAAACCCCTTAACCCTCTTAGTCAAAAAGACCAGGTTACGCCGGCATGGTGCCTTTCTGCTTCCGGGAGGCGCAGTTAATGATGCCACGGAGCCCGCGGCCAAGAGGGCTTCGGGATGAGGGTTCCAGGGTTCAGGCTTTAGGGTCGTATAGCTTTTGGAGAGGTTATGGGGCTTTGGAGAGCTGTTTGAGGTTTTAATGCTGCCTTACTTGGCTTCGTCGAACTGGATACTTTTATAGGTTTGGCGTTATATGGCTTTATGCAATTTCACAGGGTTGCAGAAAGCTTCTGGGCTCTTGCTGAGCTCCTCTACTTCAGAACAGCGACTACTCCGGTTACTCCAAGCAGGACATCTTCTTGCAACGACCATCCTGAACAATATCAGCATGTAGGACCTCGGCTGTAGGGTCGTGGCCCTACAGCTAGAACTTGTAGAATGCAAAACCTTAGCCTGACAAAGCTTGAACCTTTGGCCTTGAACCCTAAACGGCCTACGCGGCTTGACCCCAAACCATAAGCAGAGCTTTTGTACAGAAGACATCTGCACTCCATCTGGGATTTGGGTAGAGGTAGCTGCTGAGACCCGCTTTGACGTTGGGGCACCGGATGTGGGTGGTGGAGTTTAAGGGTGTAGGGTTTAATTCTTGTTCATTGTTACGGGGTTGTAGGGCCTGGTGATGCCTGCTTCTGCTTCATGGATTTTACGGTTTCGGGTTTAAGGCGTAGGCGGCTTTTGGTCAAGGTTCCCGGAAGGATGTGCGCGCACACCACATGCATCGGAGCCATCAATTGAAAGACCGTATTGCAGCGTTGAAGCACGGCAGAAGCCGTGGAGCAAGCCTTAGTCTCCATTGTAATTCCTTTTTGGGCTTACCTTCTAGGATCCTTAATATAAAATTGGTCAGACCAAGAAAAGGAACTACAACCGAGACTATAGGTAGGAACCAATTTAGGATTTGGGGTTCAGAGCTCCGCAGTCCCACCCGATGTTATTAAAGCTTGCTACCGGTGCTAGTCTAGACCTAAGCTTGAACAACGTCCACCGACTCCACTGTCCTCACAACCCGAAGCCCCGAAGCATCTTTGAAGCTTATCCCCGGCCAAGACAACACGCGCACTGTGGAGGGCTGGCCAGACTTCGTGCCGCCACTCGTCTTTGCAGCAGTCTTGTTTGGTTGAAGTAAAGTATGTAATCATGTAGACCTGATTTATAAACCCCTTGCCGTAGCAGTCGAAATATAGGCATCAAGGGATGCCTAGCATGAATTGTGGGTTTATCAAAGACGACCCCCAAACCTACACCCGAAGGAAAGCCGATGACGCCACGGCTCCCGTGGTCGTCACCTTCGCCAGCTGTGTCCGGCATACAGATTGCAAGTGCCCTGGCATCAATTTAGGGTTAGGGTTTAGGGGAGAAGTTTAGGGTTTAGGGCTTTGGGGATTCAGAGTTTGGGGATTTTTATAGGCTTGCGCATGGACTCCTGAAATTCTGACAAGATCAGGTTACCCTGCATGGGCTTCAAGGTTACTACCGCCTGAACTGCTCCTATCGTCTCTCAGTATGTACGGAATTCTCATATATACTCATAGATCGTGGACTATCAAGGTACTCAGACGGTACTTGAAACCACCCCAACTATTCTCAATTAGGGTTTAGGGTTCACCCCCCAAACCCCCCTCAAAGGGGGCTTTCTGGCTCTCTGCTTCCTTTCGGTAAGCGACTATATTTCTCACGAAATCACCCCTAAACCCTAAACCCTAAACCCTACCGATTGCTGTCGGGTTGTGGGTCCTCGCGGCCTGTGCCGGCCAGTGGGACCTGATGCTGCAAAGCGCAAATGATAGACTAGGATGCCCAGTAGTACCCTTATTCCCTTTTTGTAGTCCTCGGTTCCTTATAAATGTACCCAATACCAAAAAGAGAGGCCTTTTTATTCTTAGGTTACTGGGTATCCTAGTAGAAGGAATTCGGGCAGTACTACAGGGGGCTGAGAAAACATACCATGAACTACCCCAGACCCCAAGACCCTGTTCCAATTGCTAAGGCTGCTGTAGTAGGACTAGGGCTGTTCCAATGTCGAGTTCCCCTTTAAGCTTTCGGGTTCATTGTTATAAGTATAGTTGGATGGGCCCCAAAACCCTTTTCTTCTAATTATTACGTAATGCCCCTATGTGACCTTCATAGCAACCATTGTAGGAACCCCTACAGGACCCCTCGGGGCGGCCTTGTCTGAGCGATAGGGCTCCGTTCTGGGAGCTTAAACAAGGGCCATCTATGTACAAGGTTTAGGGTTTGGGGATGCCGGTATATGAGTGAAATCGCAAAGTCTCGGTAATTGGGTTGAGGGTTGAGGGTAACCCTAAACCCTAAACCCTAAACCCTAAAGCCTCTTATGTTGTTTGCGGCTCTATGGGCGGATGGGAGCAATACGTGGTAGCTCGTTGTGCATGGGCCCCAGGGTCACAGAAAGAGTAACCCAAGCAATAAATTCTAGCATGTTCTGTGTGGACAAACACAATTTCACTCTCTTGATGCACCTTAGACCCTAAACCCTCCTAAACCCTAAACCATCACGGAGGACGGGCTACTGCGACTCGACGACCTCAACATGTGCACCAGATCCTTCGGAAACTTGGCATAGGTTCAAAAAATGCCTGGTGTCCCTTACGGCTCGGTACATTGCGGAGTTCACAAATCGGGGTTCGAGGTTTGGGTTGTAAGGACCTATCATTCGGGATATGAGGGGTTCAGGGCTTGATCAGTATCGGAGCTACAGCTACGACATGGTCGAGAACTTATGTGTTAACATGTCTAAACCCAAACACTAAACCGTTGAGTGGTTCGGGTTGGGGCATATGGATTTCGTTCTTAGGGTCCTGACTGCTCAGCTCAAGCTGCGGCATCTGTTATGTATGTGTATATATTCAGCTATACACATACATACAGAAAGATACAACATGTCTAACATGTACATACAATACTACATATTACGTACATGACATTGCATCACGTATACATACAGGGGTTTGGAACTTGCCGGCGCCAGTAGCTGAAGTCTTAGCTGCTAGGCTGGGTTTTGGACTGGAGACACCTCAGACACGAGAATCTGAGTCGTATTTTGGTGTTTGGCGGTGCTTGTGGTGGCGGCGGTGTTGATGATGGTAGTCAGGACAGGCGCTCCTGCCTATCGTCGAAGTGGCAGCAAGTTCTAGTAGCGAGAGCAGAAGTGAGAGTACCACCAGGACTTTTGCTGGCAGTTATCAAGTTTGCGGGTTGAGGCATCCGAATCGAGGGATCAGGATCATTACTCCAACAGTTGTGTGCGCCGCCTGTCATGCAAATACTGCTGAGGCAAAGAAGCAGTCTAGTTCGAATCAAGCCGTGTCGAACACTTGAGGGAGTTGGAAGTTGCTGTCCAAACCATGCACGGTCCCACTACCAGGATTACGATTCACTGATGCTCGGGCTTAGCCCGAGGCACTGAACCCCTTTCCGACGTGATGGTACTGTGGATCGCAAACCCCAGAATCCCAGACCGGTAACCTACTTTGATAATCGGGTTTCGGCTGAAGCGGAAACTTTCAACTCTTAACATTACCGGCTGAACTCTGAGCCCAAAGCCCAAACTTCTCGAAGGAGTTTGGCGACATCTAGCCTGCATAAAGGAGCGCCCACCTTCGAAATCTCCACGATGCCTAAATCTCTAAGCCCCTAAGCCCAATTTTCCCCTAAACCCCTGAATCCTAAACCCTTTAAACACTAACCAAATCCTAAGCCAGAAACCCGCTCAACTTCTTAGATCCTCCACGATGTCTGAGGTGGTCTTCAGCATCGTTACGGGATCCTGGGGCAGCAGGGTCCCCGGCAGATGGGGTGCAACTCTGGATTAGGGTTTGGGTTTAGGGCTTCTAGGACCCAGAGTAGGCCGTTATTCCCGTTCTTAGAGTTTAGGTTCCCGTATAATCCCCTTTAACCCAAACAGGGCACCCTTTTATCCTAGGTTACTCTTAGGTCTAGGCTTAGGGTACGGTCCAATTCTGCTGCCAAAAGGGTTTAGGGTGTAGGTCTGATAGGGTGATATCTGGTCCCTAGAAGGGTTTAGGATTTAGGTTTCGCGCCTATGGGCCTATAGGGAGTAAAGGTTAGGTAAGAAGGACCGGCCATCAGACCGTAATATGTGCATTCCTGGACAAGTACTTAGCGCGAAGTAGGATCAGGCTTCATGTTTGTTTCAGGGAGGGTTGGATGTTTTCAATCCTATACGCTACGCCTTACACAAAACGACTCCAAATCCCAAACCTTAGAACCCCAAACCCTGAACCTCTAAACCGTGATAGCACCCAAACCCTGTTGGTATTAGATCTGGTTCAGTGTTTATCGGGCCTGTAGTGGTGAGTGTAGTTGGTTCGTCCTCTCTCAGGCCAAACAACCAAGAGGCAATCCAAGTTGGCTGATCCGAGAGAATCAGGGTCACACCGGATTCCGATGTGGATTGTGGGGACGTGCTGCTGTGGAGGCATGACTGGAAATACTTCCCTGACTCGTGAGCGGCCGCTCCGCAGTAGGCTTCTTCTCAAACTGGTGAAACAAAAACTTCCGCTGCTGACATTCATTTCAGTGTCAATAGCCATTGATGCAACTTTGAAGCCCCAGGATGTAGGAACCTGAGTAAGAAACCCTGGGCCCATAACCCCAAAAATAGTAGGATTCAGAAAAGGAACCCGGAAAAAGGCCCAAGGTTTCTTAATGCGGTTCCTACATCATTTGGGACTTGAACAGCGCGGTTGCTTCGGATTCCGGCATCAGTGGCAACTCAAGCTTCACAGGCGGAAGACTTTGGATTGTGGACCCAAGTTGTACCGTCAAGAGGCGGATACTCACCGAAAGGCTCCATGTACCCATCTAGTAGATACTTAGGCCAGGGACCCCTTTAAAGCTTAAGTATCTACTATAAAGGTACATGGAGCTTTTGGGTCACCAACGTTCATCTTGCAAGAGGAGCTGACGGCAAGAGAAAGCGTCATGAAAGGAATCTTGTCCTCAAGAACTTGATGGTAGGATTTCAACTTACGGGTGGAGGCTTTCACGTTTGAACAACAAACCCTAACCCCCTATGTCAATGTAATTAAGCCTAGGCCGAACACATATATACACTCTACTTGGAGGGTCGGGGGACTTAGTAAGTAGGTAGTAAGTAGACTTACAAGTACCCTAAAAGGGACCCTAATTGGGGGTTATGGTACTTATAAGTCCCTGAAGTAGCCAGTTACTAAGTCCCCCAACCCTCCAAGTAAACCCTCAACCCAAGATCCGAAGGTGAATCCCTACGCGGCAAAGACTCGCCCAGACCCTGGGAGGATCCGACAAGTGGATGCCTTTATTGGGGTTCCTATAAAGTGCCGTTTAGTACACTGTAGTAAATAGATCCGGGTAAAGGGTTCCCATAAAGTACACTTTAGTAAACCTGAGTAGTAGAAGGTCCCAAATTGGAGCTGCTGCTGTCGAGATCCTTCCGCAGGTCTGGGACCCTAACCCTTAAATCCTAGACCTTAGAACCCTAAACCCTGAAGCCTAAACCTTACGCTGAAACCGAAAGCATCACCAGGTTGTGACAAGCCTTGTGGTGGGGGACAGCAGATCCGAGACAGGGTTTGCTTGGGCTCGGACGGCCTCAAGTATCCCTCGCATCTTGGCAGTTTAGAGTTTCGGGTTTAGGGTGAAGGTTCAGGGTTATCCCTCGCTTCTTGGAAGGTTTAAGGTTTAGGATTTAGGGTGTGGTTAAGGGCATCCGTCGGATGTTGGCAGGGCAGTGGGTTGGGGCTTCGGGGTAATGACTTCCTAAAGCGGTTGCTATAAACCTACTTACTTACATCATCTCATGCAACTCATTTTCAAAACTCGAAAATAAATGAATATATATATATATATATGTATATATATATATATTATATATATATGCATGTATGTATGTATGTATGTATGTATGTGTGTATGTACGTACGTACGTACGTACGTATGTATGTATGTATGTATGTATGCGTGTATGGGTATGGATGGACAAATCGCTTGGTAGGTAGGCAGGTAGATAGAAACAGACAGATAGTCCGACACATAGACAGACAACCACACAGACATGATTCCTCAAGACCAACGCAAGTAGCAGCTGAGGACCCTACATTCTGAACCAGGGGTGTAGGGCTCAGAGATTGTAGGAGTTAGGAGCTATGTCTAAGCCTCTAAACGTTTTCAGTACAGTTCTTACCAGTAAAAATATTTGAGCAATGGCGTCTTGGTTCAATGTTTCCACATCAACAGCCCCTAAACCCCGGAAAGACTGCATCCCCGTAGTCCTGCATATCCTCGTGCCCAGCCCTAAACCCTAAACCCCAAAACCTCAAACCCGAAATCCGAAACCCCAAACCCTAATCCCGAAAGTCATGCACACCCATGTGCCCAGGTACCTTTGCCCAGGTCGGAAAGGGGGGCATTGGGGTAGGAGCCCCTTCGTAAACGAATCACACGGATCCCTAAACCCTCTCAGACTCCGAAGTTTGAGATTAACTGATTATTGAACCCTAAGCCCTAAACCCTAAACCCTAAACTGAGCACTTTATGGTTACTAGAGAGGAGCCTATTCGTAATTTGTTTCAGGGCCTTAAACTGATTACAACCCAGTAACTTAATACATAGTTATATTCCTTACATAATGCTATTCCTTTGGGTTCTTTGTTTTTTATTATATCTTAACATACCCCGAAACCCTATTCCAATGATTCAGGCCCCTGTATTATGCACGTTTTCGGGGCTTGGAGACTATGCATGCACCTAAACCCTAAAGCCCTAAACCCTAAAACCTTTACGCACACTCCTGGCCTCGGGCCTTATGTAAGCCTGGGTGAGGGTCAGACATACAAGGAGCTCAAAAAAACCTTTACGCACACAGTCTTCAGGACAGTCTCGAAGCAACAATGGGGACTCTAGGCTACCGGCGCAAACGGCTTCGGCCGGTTTGGGTTCTAGTAGTGAGGGTCAGGCTTTGCACTTTGGGTTTTAGCATTTCAGTGTTTAGGATGTAGGGTTGGTGATATGGTAAGGTTTCGGATTTAGGGTATGGGATTTAGGGTTGAGGATTTAGGGTTTAAGTTCTAGGAGTTAGGGTCACAGTTAAGGATTTAGGAGTTGGGGTTAGTATAGATATGCTTACGCTAATCCCCACCGCCTTGCACGACAGGGGGGTTCTTCCGGACTCAATCCTGTTGGGGTTTAGGGTTACAGTAAACCCCATAAAGTTGGAAACTGGATTAAGGCCAAACGGTGCTGGGATTCCCTTTGCATTACTCTTATGGATTGGACTATTGGGTTTCCAACTTTTGGGGTTCACGGTTTAGGGTTTAGGGTTTAGGGTTCTACTATAGAGGTACGTTAGAGTGATTGGCCTTGATGCACAGACCAACCCAATCTGCTGACCCTTCTATTTCTCGCCCTCCACCATGTCGCTGATGGACAAAATCCTGCATGACCCTAAGGACTCTAAACCATGGGAGCTACGGTATATTCCTTATGATGGGCAATGCAGGATTTTGTCCATCAACAGTGTCACTACACCCTAAACCCCTGAACCCTAAGCTTCGAGATCCCGGAAGCCCTACTAATGCCCTAACCGCCACTAACCCCTAAAGTTTCTACTGAGCTTTGGAGTACCATACTTTAATACTTTTTCATAAAAGAAGCATTATGAAAAACACAATCATCACTTTTTTCTCCCTGGTTACTTAAAAGCCCGGTCCAACCCCAAGAAGCCGTACAGGTCTGACCTCCTCCACGGATGTCCAGGCGTGCAACACCCACGTCTGCAGTTTGCCTTTGGCATCTTGGACCTTGATAGCAAGAGGGTACTCGTACCTATAGTCTCCATTGTAGTTCCTTTTAGAGGTTACCTTTTAACATCCTACATATAGAACTGGTTAAACCATGAACAGAACTTCAATGGAGACTGTAGAGTAGGTGGGTGTTGGGTTTATGTACGATTTACATGTTGACCCTGCAGCTTGGAGATAGGCGGCAAGACTCACCCCGTTATCAGTTTGGTCCAGATCTTTTCGTTGTTTCTCGAGAAGCTTGCTTCCTGCACAGCAACGAATCAAGAACCCTGGACGCTAAAACCCTGTTAGAAATACATACTCTTCACGCTGATTCCACTTTTTCGCTTTTGGACTCCTCACATGCCTCCTCCTGTGTTTGCTTTTGCATGCACGTCTATGTATGCGCGGATCTATGACGTATGTGTGCACATGCACTTATGTATTTATCGATCTATCGATCTATTTATCTATCTCCCGATCTCTATCAATTTGTTTGTTTGTCTGTCTACCTGTGTATCTGTCGTTCTCTGTCCAGCTACATAGACAGATTGGTAGACACCCTTTTGTATACAGCTAACTTGGCAGATGAAACCATTACGTAAATCCTAAACCCACTACACTCTCGACTGCAATCCTTATAAACCCGAAGAAGCGTACACCCCAAGCCTGTCTAAACCGCTACTCTGCGCCTTTTCACCTCGATCCAAAACCAGGTCCCGACAGACTACAGCTTTGGCTTGGACAAGGAGACTGGGAAACCGTTCAAAGGTCTAGGCATGGAAGTGCCCAGCATTCATACAAGATCATGTAGGAACCTGATTAAGAAACCTTGGGCCTTTATTAGGGTTCCGTATATGGGTCCTACTATTTTGGGGTTATAGGCCCTAGGTTTCTTAATTAGGTTCCTACAAATTTAAAACAAGATAATTCAAAGACTAGCATGCCTTACTCTTGTGTAGGGGTGGGACGTGGTGGTTGGGTTCGAGCGCAGGATGTACAGCTTCCGGTTTGGGGTGGTATGGGGTGTTTAGGATTTTTGTTGTTTTTTGGATTCAACTTTATCGGTCCGACACCGCCTGAATACGGAGCAGGGTGGTTCCCTCGCAGCCCCACGAAGAAGCGTAAGCCAACACACAAAGACGGTGCAACGTCGTTGTTGCAACGTCCGGGCTCTTTCAAGCGCATCACTTAGGTACGGCCCCCACTCAGTAATAGTTGAATAATATTCATAATATGCATATAGTAGGACCTTAATAGTAGCCCTACTATAGACTCTTATTGTATGGGGGCCGTACCTAACGACGCATCACCCAAAATTAGAGGCAGTTCGGCATCGGTGTCACAGCTTTTTGCCCTGCTTCGACTCTGAATGGCTGCAAGTGAATCAATGAAGACCCCTGGACCTTACTTGGAGGGGCAGGGGACTTAGTAAGTAGGTTATAAGTAGAGTTATAAGTACCCTAAATGGAGTTACCCCAATTATAACCCTACCTATACACGACTTACTGAGTCCCCTGCCCTTCCAAGTACGCCTGAAGGCTTAGTGACAAGCTCGCCGAGAAGCACGCAATCTGAAAGATCCCGGACTTGGAAGACTTAAATTCTGCACCACAACACGACGCTACAAACCCTGGCGAAGCCCTAAGCTGAACCGCAACAGACCCACAAGCCCGTTTAGTTATAGAGCCCTCATTGTAATGCTGAAACAAAATGTAGACATTGTAGACTCGATGACTGTAAAGGACTTGCGTTCGAACTGGATCGACATCACTGTCACGGGGACGTTGCCCACAAATGCCACGGCGTTCGAAATCCGTAGCTTGCTTGATTGAACTTCCAGAAGGTGTCGGGTTCATCGGAATTGGGACTATGTGGTGATACCTGCGCAAGAGCTGGTGAAATTACCACCTTGAGGTGTTGTCGTGGGGACATGGAAGCAAACTGCTTGACCAAACATGGTTCGAGAGCAACTGACCGAACCCACAATTCAGCTACATACATACTACTTCGACTTCTACTATGTACTACGACGGTCACTACTACACCACGACCACGGCTACGGCTACTGTTTCGACAAATTACGACTCCGACGACGACTACTGCCACCACTACTATTGCTCACTACTAATTGCGCAGCTACCGCCGCTAGGGAGTCTAAACCACATAGACCCCTGGACCCTAAACTCCTAAACCCAGGTCTGGGAAGTTCGTCTGGTGCGATGTTGGACACCTACGTGGTGGAAGTGCTTCAGTCCGAGTGCGTGGATGCCGGCTACTGCACGATTCAAGCAAGCTCGCAGGTGCAACGGGCCCTTGTATTTAGTGCGTGTATATATGTATACATATATATATATATACATATATACAGATATGTCACCACCTAACATACATGTTTGTATGTGTGTATATATATATATACATGTACCTATAGAACACTACCATGATCATGTATATCTGAGGTAGGTAGGTGGGCAGGCAGGCAGGTAGGCAGATATGTGACCAAGTAAGTATGCATGTATGTATGTAGGTATGCATGTATGTACACCCTTCAAGCATATATATATATATATATATATACACGTATTTGTTTGCTTGTGTTGCTTGTTTATTTGCCACAGTAGAGTATGATACTGTTGGGTTATTTGGTGCATAGGATGTTTGTTGGGGCTTGTGGCTTGCGGCTCAGGACGAAAAGTCGCGTACTTACACACGATCTACCTAAACCCCTAAACCCTAAAGCCTCAACCCTGTTTTCAGGTCCCCGAATCCTCTACCTGGAACTCGCAACTCAAAGGTTTGAGCTCATAAATAACGGGTTCAATATAGGGAAGTTTCCGAAAATTAGGGGTACATTATTTGGGATCCTTATAAGAATCCTACTATTTAGGGCACTATATTAGGGTCCCCTATTTTCGGAAACTCCCATATAGAGGCCTTAAATGATTATAATAGGGTTTTGAGGCCCGGTATATTACAAGTACAATAAGGAACACCCAAATGAGTACAGGTAATTTGTAAGGCCCCTATGGTAGCGCTCAGGGCTTTGGCCTTGGGGTTATTAACGGTTTAGGGTTTAGGGTTTAGGGTCTCTAGCTCCATACCCATGACACTGATCTGGCACACAGTGGGCTTCAGCATCGAGATGTATAGCAACGAGCTCTCAGCCCCTAAACCCCTAAACCCTGAACCCTAAACCCCAAAGCCTTAACCCCCTGAACCCTAAACCCTAAACCCCTAAACCCTAAACCCTGAGCCCTAAACCCCTAAACCCTAAACCGTGAGAAGAGTTAGGTTGGCATCCCCGAGGGTGCGATGAACGCCTGCCCGTGAGTAGAGCTGAAGGGCTTTTACTGTCCGGTTCTTAGTAGGGAATTATGGTTCCTTTGCAGGTAGGTTCCTTTACGGTTTACTACAAGGGCTACTATAAGGGTTATACTAAAGGGGTTTAGGGTTTTTAATGGACTGTCTGGTTCTTAGTAGGGAATGGGGGGATGGATCCCTATAGTAATTAGTCCTTTATAATCCCCCAAGACAGTGTCCAGATCTCATCCCCCCATTCCCTACTAAGAACCAGACAGTTTTGGGGGTCTGTGGTTTGGGGTCCGACAAAACGCGGTCTCGTTGGGCAGTTGCCGGCCTATGTCGACCGTTTGATGCTCATGGGCAAGCGACTTCGCCTGCGGAGAGAGTTCAGGGGTTTCGGGTTGAGGGTCGAGTGACTTACTTTTGTAATTCTTAAAGCCCATATATTAGTTTAAGGATTAAGTTGAGGTTTAGGTTGAAGGATGACAAGGGTTCAGTTTCGGGGCTTAGGTTATCACAGTAATATGCAAAGCCTCCCCCAAAAAACACTCTGGTTTTTACGGGGCTCCAATGTAAGCCTAATGGCAGAAGCCGACAAAATTGAACACGGCTTCCGCTGATGCCCTAAACCCCAAGCCCCAGGAACAGCGATGGTCTTGGCCCTGCAGTGGAGGAGGTGGGCGCCCGAGCCCCAAACCCTCCAGCCTAAGAGCCCAAAGGAGCGAAAACGTGCCTTCGCCGAACTCCCGAAATCCCCCAAACCCCACCGTAAAGAGGCGTTTGCCCGTTGGGGCTGTTTTTGCTTTTTTGGGGGGCTTCCGCACGAAGAAGTGCCCAGGCTCTGGCAACTCAGGCTTTAGGCTTTGTGTTTCATAGGAGGCCAAAAGGGGTTTTAGCCTATGGAGGTTTAGTAGGGATTAGGGTTCCCATAATAGGGTCCATATTAAGGAATCCCTACCCCAAGAATCTTAAACCCCCCCTTTTGGCCTCCCATCAGTGTTGCCTGGCAGTCCAGAAGTCGGGAGTCCGGGCTCCCCCAGAGACTCCAATATCCCTTAATTAGGGAATATGATATACCTTAGATCATACTCGGGATCCTACTATAATTTGAGGAATATTCCTTAATTAAGGGATATTGGAGTCTCTGGCTCTGCGTGCCTATTTCGGATTCAGAGCGCACTCCGAAGCCGCTGACTTTTGCACCTAAGCTGTGTCGCATGTGATTTTGATTTTCTTCGAGGCCTGGGCTAGGATGTACGTAGGGGCTTGAGAGCGGCATGGAGCTTACCAACCTTTTACGGTGGTGCCAATGCTTTTTCGAGGGTTTATGTGATTGGGGCTGCAGAATGTTTGAGGTTGGGAGTTTGCTGCATGCAAAGGCAACGGCAGAGGGTAAAGCAACCAGACATGTAGACCATGTAGACGTTTCTCGCACTCGGATTCTTCGATGCATCCAGACCCAAAGGGTCCAAAGTACATATACAGTAAAATGTAAGGTGTCTTTTCTAGACATGTCCCAGTACGATTCGAGGACATATTCCCCCATACCAGTACCCCTATAGATCCCGTAGAGGCATCCTTAAAGGGACCCTTTAAGGATCCCTTAAAGTATCCCCCCACAACAGTACCTGGGACCCTTTGGGAGAGTTGCACAGGTGTTCACGGATCGGGTCGGAGAGACGGGCAGCCAGCAGCTGCCCCTCGGAGGCAAAGCTCCGGCCTCTTAGGCGATGAAGTTCACCTGGGGGTCCTTAATATGATACGGCACCCAGTATTTAGGGTACCCAAAAAGGGACCATAATGTTGACAAGCACCCACCTTTGAGTTACTTGGTGCGTCAAGGTAGGGTGTAGGGTTTGGGGTTTAGTCTCTGGGATTTAATGTTTACTTTAACCCCAAGTAGCCTACCGTTCATAGGGGCTCATGTAGCGAACCTATAATCAGAAACCCGAAAGAGGAAGGTTCTTTAGGGTCCAGGTCGGGATTCTGTGTGGTTTAGGGTTTGGGTTCAGGGGGCCGCTTCGGTTTACCCAGACCTTCCAAAATTCCTTAGTTATGCAATATCCCTTAAATCATACTAGGGATCCGACAATTAAGGAACATTTTTCAATTCATATTAGGGATCCTATTATAACTTAAAGTATATTTTGGGTACGGCCCCCACTCAGCAACGGTTGGATAATATTCATAATACAGTTATATAAGGCCCTTAATAGTAGCCCTATTATAGACTGTTACTGTATGGGGGCCGTACCCAAGCTATATTCCTGAATTAAGGGATTGTGGAAGGTCTGGGTAGAGCCGAGGAGTTCCGTGGGCCCTCTTGGGCCGGGTGTGCCCCAAGCCAGACTTCTTAAAGAAACCGGTCAGGATTTAGGGTTTAGGGGGGTTTAGGGGGGTTTGGGGTTTAGGTGGGTTGAGGGCGAGGGTTTAGGGTTTAGGGTTTAGGGGGGTTTAGGGTTTAGGGTTGGGGGGTTTAGGGTTTACGGTTCTTTCCGGGGGCCTGCCAGAAGAACTGTTCTGGAGGCCTGAAGATGTACCGAATCCGCTCCTTAGGGCTTCTATCATCGCTAGAGTATAACATACCGCCATACCCTACTATTCCGGTTATGAAACTGTAAGATTCTCCAAACTTCTCTCATAGTTAAAGTATGGCTAGCAGTAACATACCCCAAACCCCTAATGCACTTACGAAGGCTGTTTGGTTAGATTAAAAGTTCCGTGGCAAGCAGTTATGTTCTTGTCGTGAAGCCATGAGAGTGAAACAAGTGGAAGGCAAGGTTTAGGGGTTAAGGGTTTAGGGCCTAGTAACTTCAAGCAGTACCAACAGCAGCGGCAGCAGCAGCAGCAGCAATAGGCACGCGATAAGGCTGGAAACGGCGACATCAACCGTCATGGTGGCAACCAGTGATGGCAACAGTCGGGTACTGTTTAATGACGGACACCACAGCCTCAACCCTTCCCCACATGAGAACTCGGCCTTAAAGCCGTACTACAATGAAGCCGTGGGGTCACCAAGTATACAGGCCACGGGCTTGAAGAACTAGCACTAGTGTCCCTTCGGGTAACCTCAGCTCATATACTTGTCATGTACAGCCGTCCGACAAAACGAGTGTAGTAAGTCAGAACCTGTTGTAACACAAAAACTCCCTGCAACAGCCGATGAAACCCTCAAACCCAAAACATAATCCCAAAACCCCAAATTTTGAACAAAACCCACCCAGAAGTTTGAACCCAAAGCCGTGGACGTTTCCGTAAACCCTGGACCTGATCAGCTCCCATTCCGTCTAACTACACGTATCATTACTGCCCGAAACCCTACTGCAGATAAGAACAGTAGTTCATGGCACTACGTATCATTGCTAGGTTCCTGAGCAGTACATAGCAGTACCTTTTCGCCTTTCTCATTTTGGGGGTCTCCTTAATACCAACCGAATAGTAGGAAAAAGGGTATCCTTATTATGCAGGGGCTACTTACGAACATAGGCCACCCTAAACCCTGGGCCCTATACTAACAAATGCTGAATACGCGCGTTTTTACTGCCAAACTTACCAAGTCCCACGGGTCCTCAAGAACCTCAGGTTCACGGTGCAAAGCGAAGCTGGCATGGCATCTCGGGCATTGGCAGGATTTAGGGGTTATGAGCGTTGAGTCTAAGATTGTTTGGTGGATGTGGTTTTTAGGTTTTTGTTGTTTTTTCGCATGGAGCCTCAAATTGCAGGCTGTTGGATCGTGGAAGGTAGTGACCCCTGATTCCCCAAATAGTATATGCTTTGGCCCCAAAGCACCTACGAGGGACTGCTTGAAGACCACAATATGAGCATTTGGGCCCATAGACCCGTACGGATTTGTATCTGTGGTTTACACATTTACACGGGTCTTAAGTTCAGGAGTTTGGCGCTCGAAGCATATGTCCCGAGCCCTAACCCCCGGGTCGCGAATGAGTCTCCTGGTCTTGACGTGCGGGTGTTCCGGAGTTATGCTTGTATGTGAAGTGTATACTTGCTTGGGCCTTGACAGGGCTGGAGGTGCCTCAGGTCTTCTGTCCATGCCTTCCCAGACCTTCCAAAATCCCTTAATTGAGGAATCTAATCCTCAAATCATTCTAGGGAGCCGATAATTGAGGGATATCAATTAAATCACATCCGGGATAGCATTGTATTTAAATGGTTCGGTTTAGGGTTTAGGGTTTAGGGTTTAGGGTCCCTAAACCCTAAACCCTAAACCCTAAAAGCGCGTGAGCTTTGGGTTCATGCTACTTCAGAGGCCTCGGGATCCCCGGGACCCGAAGCTGAATCTTATCATAGGGACCCTTAGGGGGGGGTAGGGGGAGGGGGGGTAGGGGACTAGACTTCTTTAAATAAGCCTTCTTTAGTCCTTATTCTAGGTATGTAAGGCCCCCCGCCCCCCCTCCACCCTACCCCCTAAGTATCCTTATGATCTTAGCTTTTGCTGCTTGGAGTTCTGGGTTCAGGATTTCGGGGTGTGGGGTTCACTCCCTAAACCCTAAACCCTGAACCCAAAACTTTGGGGTTTTTGGGTGTAGGAATAACGGTGGGGCGCCCGAGAGCTTCTCAGGAACGATAGTGCACGCATAGCTTTACTTTCAACACTGCGAGAAAATTCATATGTATATATATATACACACAAATCTGTAACGCCAGAACAAGCCTCTGTAAATCTTAAGCCTAAGAAGCTTAAGATCCACTAACTTAGCACATGCTTCTTGATTTGATTGATTGGCCCGAGGTACATTTTCACCTCGCCGGTGCTTCCAGCACCAGCGGGAGTTGGGCACCCGCAGATCGTCTTCCCGGCTGCTGGGCGGCAATGTTTCGAATTTTGAGGATCGGAAAAACTAGGACCTAGAGTAGGCCCTTATTCCCTTTTTTAGGGTTCAGGTTCCCTTATAAGCCCCTTTAAACCAAAAAGGGCATCCTTTTTATGCCTGGCTTACTCTTGGGTCTAGAAAAGGGCACCCTAAAAGTTGCCCTACCCGTCATTCCGAAGCCGAGAGCTGAGGTCGTGGTTAACACCCGACGAAAACCCCACTCAGGTACATGCACTACTGTTGATGATCTAAATCCTGCATGACCCTAAATAAGGAATATACCATAATTCCCATAGTTTAGGGCCCTTAAGGTAATGCAGGATTTATATCATCAACCGTATGTTTATAGAGGGTGTTCTTGGAAGCTTCCACTATCTCCACCGTGCACTCGACACTCATGAAGAGACGAGCCCTAGATCCTATGTACACAATACCTGGTAATACGCGACTTAGCTCGAACTGTAGCCCTAAAGGCCTAAAGGAGGACTGTATAAATAGTAACGATGCCCCAGTCCCTATGTAACCTTACTACCGTATCCCCAAGCCCTACTCCAATCATGAGTCTCACACCCCCAGACCCTAGACCCTATACCCCTAAACCCTATACTCCTAAACCTTAAGCCCTAAACCCTAAACCCCCAGGCCCTAAACAGTGAACCTTTGAATCCTCAAGCGACTTCCTTGCGGAAGCAGGGTCCCTCCGACTGAGGTATCCGTATGCACCTGCCAGATGCTAGGCGCTCTTCGCCAAGAGCCCTCACTTAGGGCTTGAGGGTTTAGCCTGGGTTTGGAGTGCCATACTTGAATACTTGTTTTGGTACCTGTTCCTTAAAGCAGCCATTGTGAAATAAAAGTCTATACTGTTTCCCCGGGGCACTTCAAAGTCCAGTTAAGGCTTCAGGGCTTAAGGCTTTGGGTTTAAGGGTGTCAGGGCTGATTTGGAGTTCGGGCTTTGGGTTAAGGAGTTTTCTGGGATTTTTGGGATTCTGGGCTCGATATTTGTGAGGATTGAAAGTCCGGGTTCTTTCAGGGCTCTATAAGGCTTTCGTGTTTTACGGTTCCCAGAGACTCCCAAAGCTCCTTGGTTCAGGAATACTTAGAGGTTCATGGGTAGTTATAAGTAGGGTTATAAGCAGGGAAAGCTATACTTATAACCCATATTAGGGGCTTATAACCCTACTTATAACTACCCATGAACCTCCAAGCATGCCTTAAACCATGATAAGGATCCCCCCGTGACTGTCGGGAGACTTGTACTCCTTAGCCAAGGAACTGCGGAGTCTTGTGCGGTCTTTGGAACGTTACCCAAAGGCTCCATGTACCCTTACAGTAGATACTCAAGCCTTAAAGCAGTCCCTATATAGGTACTTTCAGGCCTAAGTATATACTATATGAGTACATGGAGCCTTATAGGGTTACAGGCATGCAATGCAGTGTCTTTCATGTAGTCAGGGTGTCTGAATCACTGTAGGGCCCTTCAAAGTCGGGGGTTTAGGGTTTAGAGATTGATTCAAGAGCCCTAAGGAATACTGAGTTCGAGTCATAGAAGAATATTAAGTTCTAATCATAAAAGCCTTATATTGATGTCTTCCGATGGCGTCAGGCGGCTGATGAGGACGGCTGGAACCAGATTTGGAGACCCACAGGCATGCCTTTTCATCGATTTCGGTGTTCAGGGTTTAGCGAAACCTACACCCATTTATTCATTTGGCAAATGGACCCTTTGGTCGTCTTTCAAGGTAGATGCTTTAATTTAGGGGCTAAAACCTAAAGCCATCAACCAGGTAATATGTACGTAGATCATATTTTCACGCAGATTACTTAATTGAGGACTTTGGGGTCTTTGGGCCGTGGGTGTTCATCCCTAACCTTAAGCCCTCAGCACGAAAGATCTTCCTCAATCTTGATGCCCGACAAATACCCTAGTGACCTGAACCCAATTGGCCTAAATCCAGTCTGTAGTTTTAGTAAGATTATTCTTTCGGGCTCCTTAGTACAGCAACTTGATAATACAACCCGTATTAGACTGTCCATCCCTCTCGCACAGTCCAGCGACCACGGTGTTGTGGTCATCGACACTGTGGCCGTACCTGGAATTCCAGCCGCTGGGGTCTGCAGCAGTTTAGTTCTGACTTGTGGTGTCGGGGTTCCTCACCGTGTACATTTAAGGTTAAGCTACCTGTAGTCTCCCCTGTAGTTCCTCTTTTTTTGCAGGAACCAAATAAATAGTCAGGGTCCTATAAGGTAACCCCAAAAAGGAACTACAATGAAGACGATAAGTAGGGTTACGCTTACCATCCTGGAACCCAGGCCACTCGCTGGATCTATGCGACGAGACCCGTCTTCTTGTCCATGGACCCGGCGCTGCATACCTGAAACTGAGTACAGTAGAAGCCAGAAAGTTGGAATATTATTATCGTAACCCCTTTAAGGTAAATTATAGGGGATTTTATTCTTAATCCATATTCCAACTTTCTTGAGTTCCCTTTATTGGATAGGTGCAGGAGTTTCCGAAGATAATAGTGGACACGAATAGAGTACCCTAAAAAAGTAGGATCCTTGTTACAAGGACCCCAACAGTCAGGTACCCCTTCTTTTCGGAAACTCTAAACCCTAAAACCCTTTGTAGAACCCTTATAGATCCCTTTAAAGGAACCCTAGGACCCCAAAATACGGTACTCCTAATTTTCGGCAACTCTAATTAAAATCTTTTCGGAAACTCACTTGCAGCCACGGTTCCGGGTGTCGGCTCTTAGGTTTCGGGTTCAGGGCAGCAGTTCTGGAGTTTTGCGGCTTAGGATTTCGATCTCAGGGTTGCAGGGTTTCGGTTGCAGGATTTGGGAGTCTGGGGCTTGGATAGCCGTCAAATCCAAAACTCGAAACTTCAAAAGACTGCTACAAAGCCCAATTTTAAGGATAAAAACATATGCTATGAACTCCTGCACCATTCAAAACACCATATTATCCCACTTTTTCGCATGAGGGCAACATCGCTCCTTTTTCATGCCCTGCCCGATTCGACCCGATCGACACCGATGCATCCGACCCGATTTCCAGCGATTCGATGCGATTTGCCGATCGGGGGACGGAACCTAGCCACCAGGGGTCTCTGCACAAAGGCTTAACCGTCAGCCCAACCTGAGCTTGGCACTGAAGGAGCCAAGAAACTCATTTGAGAGATATGCAATGTCCACAGGCATGGCAGACCTAGTGCCAGCAGGCACTGATGTCCTCAACGAGTTTGCAATCTGTCCTGAAATGGGTTTTCTTTTTGAAACGCAGCGTGATGGGGATAGATCACCAGGTCAAGGTCTGGCAAACCCGACTTCAGCCTCCAGTTACCCACATGGATCGAATTCAAAACCATTTACAGGCTGCGATTTGAAGATACCTCTATGCAGGTGTGTTGGCTCGATTCCCCCCGTGTCATTTGCTCGAGGCTTCGCGATTCCAGGGTTTGTCGACACCCCGCCCTGCCCCTGCCCTCCCTCCCCTTCCCCACTCCACCCCACCCGGCCTGTGCCCTGCCCCTCCTGCGCTCCCTGCTCCCACCCTGCCCTTGCCCACCCTGCCCCAACCCGACCCAACCCACCCAACACAAAACCGAAATCGAGTAAGTGGCAGCCACTGACTCGACCCTCCCACCCTGGTCCCGCGCTCCTGCGCTCCCTGCTCCCACCCTGCCCTTGCCCACCCTGCCCCAACCCGACCCACACAAAACCGAAACCGAGCTGCGACAGCCACAAACGTTTGCACCTGCCCTACCCCACCTCCCACCCTGGCCCCGGCCTGTGCCCTGCCCCTCCTCTCCCTGCTCCACCCGGCCCTTGCCCACCGGCCCCAACCCGACCCAACTCACCGGCTAGCCGTCGGCCTGCCCTACCCCACCCCCTCCCACCCTCCCCTGCCCTACAGGCCTTGAAGCCGTGAGCTTCGTGCTCCCTGTGATGAGTTGTTTGCTTGTAGGCTTTCCCTTAAATCTCTTGCAGAGAGATCAGTCGCGGGAGCTGCTGGCTTGACAGGGGAACCATGATGCTTTGCCCCTGCCGTGCACACGAAACATAGCATTTCGGCAGTAGTGTCTGACGCTATTATTTTTCGCGTTTTGCGGATTGGCATCAGTGTCAAACTCGCTCAATTCGTGAAGCCTTCAGCCTTCAGCAAATGACGCCGGGGGGGTTCGAGCCCGCAGGATTTTGAAACAAAACTCACAGCCGGATAAAATACCACTGAACTATGCTGGACCATGAAACACAGTTTTTGTGGTTTTTGTTTGGTGAATGCTTCAAACCTCGAGCGGGGTTGACGCCTTTTCCAGAGCGCCCGAACTCTGATTGTTCTTTGTGCTTTCAGGGGTTTGCCCTTCCCGTGCTACTTCCCTACCGTGCTTCACCCTGCTCTACGCTGCTGGCTTTGCATTTCGCTGCGTAGAAAGTGGGGCGCCCACCCTTCCCTCCTCTCCCCCGCCTTTTTCCTCTTCGAGCTTTGCTTGCCAGCGATTTGGCCATAGACTTAGTTAGCAAAGCGCACAAGCGCCTGGCTCTATAGGCACAGCTCCATGGTTCAACTCCGACGGCAGTTCGGTCGATTCGATTCGATTTCCGACCCGATTCCCGATCTTGTTGTGAGGTTGGTTGTCCATGTTTTTGCATGGAAACCTAAACTCGAACTCTTTGGACTCAGGCCGTGGTTTGTAGATGGGCTCTTCAAGGGATTGACAAGGGAGCATCTGGCTCTATGCCTTTTGCAGGCTTTCAAGTGTTGCCTTTATGGACTGCATCGGGGCTTACTTGACAAGCAAGATGTACATACGAGCCTTCATGCTGGCTTTTCGGGGTACTAAGGCGAATACACGGGTCTGCATAATAATTGGGGAAAGACTATTCCGAACAATGCACAACTGTGCATTAGCCGATAAACCTCAGCCCATCACCCCTCGATGCAGCATTCGGCAGACGCAATGCTACAAACCTAAGCTTTAGGGTTTTATATATTTCCGGGTTTAGAGGTTAGGATGCAAGATTTTGTATTTACTTGGGGGTACTTAGAAATAGTTTTAAATTTTTGGTTATTATAATCTTTAAGAAACAGCTGAAATTGTAATTTTTGCTAGGGTTCTAAGTTCAGTATAGTTTAAGTCTTTGGGGAAACATGAACCCAACGTCTTGGAGTCACGAAACCAAGGCTAATGACATTCCTCTCCGCGGGTCTCCTGAAGCCGGAGATCATGCACTTCCGCGTCTCCTTTTTAGACCTCTCCTGCTCCACAACTTCCGCGGCTGCCACTCGGAGGATATACTTGGAGGGCCTCAAAAGTCACGATGAAGGTAGGTGGGATATTCTCAAATAAGAGTCCTTATATAAGGGATCCTTAATCCCACCTACCTTCATCCCACCTTGTGAGGCCTCCGATAAAGGGAGTTCGTAAAATATGGATACCTGGTGTAGGGCTGCTCGGGGCCCTTCTTTCCTGATAGCCGCAAAGAACTTACTTTGCACTAAAGACCTAGGATGCCCAGTAGTACCCTTATTCCGTTGTTGTAGTCCTATGTTCCTCATAAAGCGACCTGATACCAAAAGGGGAGCCCTTTTTATTCCTAGGCTACTGAGCATCTTAGACACCCTGTGCGCCAAAAACTCGCATTCCTACTTAAAGGATCATGGGACTTATTAACAAGGGTTATAATTAGGGTAACTACACTTATAAATACTTATAACTCCAATTAGGGTACTTATAACCCCACTTACAAAGTCACATGATCCTCCAAGTACAACACTTCATCGAAACTCCTAAAGCCACAAAGCCTGAAATTGAAATTCATAGCCCCTCAAACCCCGTATCCAAGAACCGTTAAAGACGAACTGGGCAGGGACTTAGATGGGTTTGGGTTCAGAGTTTCAAGGGTTTGGAGATGACTTAGGTACCTTCTGAGGAGGTGCTTTCCTGAGGTGTTGATAATATTATTGTGTTAAGTGTTTTATTTGTCTCAGGGTTTTCCCAGGCTTTTCTATCACGTCATTTCCTGTTGATTGATTGAGCACTTACAAGTTTGGCTTTGTGGGGCCACGATGAAATTTCAAGGCACAACATTGCTGCCTTTTTGCCTCAACCTAAGCCCCTGAGCCCCGAAGCCGGATCTTGTGCTAGCAAGACAATGCTGAACCCAAGCCCTTGGCTTTCGATGGCCCAAGCATAAGCGCAGATCGTACAAGACATACGGTACACAGCTGCATGAAGGTGTAGGTAGGAGTATTTCCCGGCCGGTTAGGGAGATGTCAGTGCACAGCAACCATGTGTGTGTGTGTGTGTGTGTGTGTGCATATCCATTCTTGCATCATGCATACACATGTACGCCCCGTCCATGTATACATACGCATACATTTTGGATTAGTCCCAACCGGGGTGTCCAAATTCTCTTTGTGCATGTACAGAAGTACGTCTGCATGTAGATTTGTGACATCATGTAGTGTTTTTTTCAGTCGTATGTGCAGTGAACGTTTTGTTCATATGTCCACGTTCTGGATGTGTGTGAGCATGTGCGTGTGCACGTGTATGTGGATATGCTCAGACAAATAGAAGGACAAGGAATATCAAGACACGATACACAATAAAGCACGGACCCGCAAGACCGTACCTGCGCACAGCGGTTGAGTTGTTCACAAACCTGCATGTATACATATATATATATATATATATATGTATATATATATATATATATACATATACATACATACATGCTCATGCACATACGTGTCTGCAAGTACAACATATGAAATTATTTGTAAATTGTTAAACATGTGCATACAGCTATTCCTAGTACATTTCCATAGTATACAAGACAATACATGCCGACATACCTAGATTCCTACATAACTTCATACACCACATATGTATGTATGTATGTATGTATACATACATACATACATACATACATACACACAAATATACATACATACATATACGTACATATACATACACATACATACACATGCATACGCATACATACACTACATACACATACGCATACACTTACACTTGTGCATACACATACACATACACACCCACCCACACACACAGAGAGAGAGAGGCGCACATGCATGCATGCATGCATGCATGCATAGACTTCGAAACCCTAAAAGGGGTCAGGAGAACATGCTGTGGAACTCTGAGGTCAACGGCATCCCATCAGTCCCGTCCTCCGAGGCAAGCGCTGCGGTTCAGGGTCCCAGAGACTCCAATATCCCTTAATTAAGGAATATACCTTAAATCATACAAGGGATCCGACCATATTTTAAGGAACATTCCTTAATTAAGGGATATTGGAGTCTCTGGGGTGTCGGGGCTTTAGGCTTTAGGATGTCGGATTCATTGCTATGAGGATTAGGGCTTACCCGTTTCGGGCTTAGGGCTTTAGGGCTTTTCGCTGGAGTGTTTAATGAAGGGAGAAAGCAGGTTTTTTAGTGGTACCCTGTTACCCTTTTATATTAGGGCCCCCTTCTTCACACGGAGTAGTAGGAAAAAGGGTATTCTTATCTTAAAGGGGCTGCTAAATCAATGAGTCTGTGGCTACGGGCGCTTAGGGAATCTGGTCTCCTTCTTTACGGAGTTCGAGGGTTATTGTAAATAGAGTAGAATATACCTCCCCCCCCAAAAACTATTCTAAGTATGAAGTTATAGAATCCTTGTAGATCGCTATTATAGTAACCCTTCTAGGCCCCTTTAACGGAACCCTGTTCGCATTATTAAGGCCCCTACATTACCTCTCAAAGTTTGGAGCCTCGAAAGGATTACTTGCGGGACGATGTGCGCGAACGGTTGACCGCCATGTGTCCTGGCGGGCAATGAGATGTAGGGTTTAGGGCTTGGGAAGTTTAGGGTTTAGGGCTTGGGAAGTTTAGGGTTTAGGGCTTGGGAAGTTTAGGGTTTAGGGCTTGGGAAGTTTCGGGTTTAGGATGACCCCAAACTCTTGTCACAGCTTTCGTGGTGCATCCTATAAAACAGAACTCATACAACCTTGACAAAGCCACTTCGCCAAGCTTTCACAAAACCGATGTACTACTACCGCCGCCACCACCACCACCCACCACCCACCACCCACCACCACCACGACTACGACTACCACTACGACTACAACTACTACT